ACGCCTCACATGCTGCTCCGGTAGATGGTGCATTTTACCGATGTTCCCTGAACGCCTCACATGCTGCTCCGGTAGATGCTACCAGGTGCGCTGTATTTTCCTTTTGACGTCGATTTACAGATAAGTTGTTTGTGATTAGAAAAGCCAAGCATTATTACAGCAGAGTTTGCTGACATCTTTCACAGGGAGGAGACTCCTTCTCCCGCATTTACTGTCGTGGAGTGCCTGTGAAGAGGGGCGGGGTGGGGTGACAGGCCACAGCCCGTAAAAAAAAATCAAAATTAAAAATCTGTTAAACTATTGGTTACATTCGAAGCGGGGAGTTTTGCATCCAATAACAACAAAGCTATTACTAAACAAATGAAACAGTTGAGAGGCAGCTTAGTGCGGTCCTTGCAGCCGTGGTTTCGGCTGGTCTCGCAGTAAAATCCCGAGTCCTCTGTGGCCGAGACCGAGACAATACCGAGTAAAAATGCAGTCGAGTCCAAGACAAGACCGAGATCTTCAAAAAGTGGTCTTGAGACCGGTCTCGAGACCGAGACCGATCTCGTGTACTACAACACTACCAGAAACATGGTCCTTTTTAGAAAAATGGATCCCAGAGACACTGGAGATCAACAGCCACGTAGTTCTGGAGAGAGTGCAGCTGGTCGGGCCGAAGAGAGGTACTAACTCCCCACCAAGAACTCTAATAATAAAGTTCCTCAACCACAGGGACAAATTGAAGGTAATTTATGCTGCCAGGCAAAGAAAAATATTAAATACAAGACCCGGCAAGTGAGATTCTATTCTGATCGATTAACAAGCAGTGGAAAGAATATGACTCAGTCTGTCAGCAGCTGCAGAACCTTAAGATTCGACGTGGACTGATGAATCAAGTGAGACTCCTGGTAACATATAATGCTTGAACCAGCACCTTCAACACTCCAGCAGAAGAACAAGAATTCATACAACAAGACAAAGGCAGGAGGCGCCGAAAACTGAACAGTGACTGGTAGCGTAAGGGATAACTAAAGATGAACGGCTAGTAAACTACAGCAGATATGGTTAAAAAGGGGGGACTTATATGTCAAACATGATGTACAGCCCTAAAGCTGAAAGAGTAAGGGCATTCAACAGAAAATTAAATGTAAAATGGACAAGAAAGAAATATCAACTATGGATACTGACTGTTGTAAAACCTGGAACAGCTTGACACTCCAGAACTCTATTCTTTAAGTTTTGTATCTACTGTTTTTTTTCCAGGCTGGGTATTTCACTGGTATTATGACACAAAAATTATTAAAGTAATCTTATTACCATGTCTTTGGTTACAACATCAACTGGATATTGCAGACCAGTGTTTACTTTTGAAACATGAAGCGCAGCAGTGCAGTTTCTGGTGTTGTGGTGACTTAAGAGGAAGGGTGATGGATTGATCCTCAGACTGTGTGGAACAGCCAATGGTGATAACTGGAGATAGAATTTGTTGGGGGAATCTGAAGTAGGAAGAAAGGGATTGTTTTCACACAAGTTCAGTGTGGTGGATGTGGGTTGTTGTCAGTTTCCAGTTTTCTCCTTAAAAGAGTAAAGGTTGCTACAGGTGGTGATATAAAGTACTTTATTAGTTATGTCTCAAAGAGTAAAGCTTAACTTCATATCATGGGACTGCAAAGGTTTCCACAAACTCCAAAAAATTAAACAGGTTGTGAAAAAACTTAATGATTTGGATTCTAAAATCATATTCCTACAAGAAACACACATTCTGGAAGAGGAAAGCATTAGAATTAGGAGGAGATGGTAGCGGAATGTATTCACAGCTTCTTTCACATCACTGGTGAGAGGGGTCATGATACTTTTTCAGAGTCCCATTTCAAGTAACAAATGTAGTCAAGGATAAGATGGGCTGATACCTTATTGTCCAAAGGTTTATGATCCAGGCATTTTACTAAAGAACGAGGTCTGATGGACACATGGAGGGAACGGAAACCAGATGTAAAGGCTTATTCATGTTACTGAGGTACACATAATACATACTTTTGCATCAATTACTTCTTAGTATCTGTGGGATAATACTCCAAAATACAAAACTGTTCCTATGACATCAGGGTAATGTCAGACCATGAACCATGCTGTGTAGTGTATGAGTATGCTAAGTTGTTCAGAGAACCAGCTAGACGGCACTTTCATCCTGGACTCACTGAAAGGCTGCTGATCACCTCTGTGGTCAGCTCCTGCTTAGATGTTATTCTCCACTGAGTTCTATCCAAAAAAAAAACAACAACAACCTCAGACTACTTCAAATTAGTGGAAAATGTGAAACGACACAGACTGACAAGAAGTTTGAGCACTGTAACGGGTTTAGGACTTTAGTGTGCTGAGAGAGAGGTGGGAATACTGAACTTTTCCAAAGTTACACCTCCAGTGTCACCTGGAAACCTGGACTAGTTACAGCTACATGTCAGGAGCAGATTCCTGAAGCAGAAGAATGGAAGCTGCTGGTGTCAGCAACATTATGACCCAATTATAACAACTCAACGGTTGTTTCAGCCAATGACATCTTGTCATGTAACAAAAACATTTTGTTTTTCTGAGGTGCTTGTCCGACTCAGCTCATAAATATCAAGAGCTGCATCTGACTTTAGCTTCCATCAGTGCAAAATAATCAGTATAAACAGCAGCAGCCGCTCTTTCATTAGGCTCACAGAGGAGCAAGGATACCTAGAAGGAGATAAATATAATAACATATAAACGACAACAGCAGGAAGTTAACACATTTACTGTTATTGATTTCTTACTGAAGACTGCATGGTGGCTCGGTGGTTAGCACCGTCACCTCTCAGCTAGTAGATCCCCAGTCCGGGTCCTGGTGAGGACACCCGGGATCTTTCTGCGTGGAGTCTCCATGTTCTGTGCAATGTGGGTTCTCTCCGGGTTCTCCGGCTTCCTCCCACAGTCCAGAAACATGTTGAGGTTAATTGGTGA